GGGGGGGCTCCAGGGACCCCGCGGGCCCGGGTGTGGCCCTGGGAGGGGCACTGGGTGGTGGCCCATGGCAGTGGCCCGGGGGGGGCTCCAAGGGGGGTGGCCCGGGGGTAGCCCTGGAGGTGGCCCGTGGTGGGGTGGCCCGGGGGTGGGGCCAGTGTCGGTGCCCCCCGGGCACCCCGGGGAGCAGCCGGTGGTGGTGGCACAGGGGGTGTCCTGGGGATGGCCCTCGGGGTGGCCCTCGGTGTCAGTGGCCCTGGGGGTGGCCCACGAGGGGGTAGCTCCATGTCACCCCAATGTCAGTGGCCCTGGGGGTGCCCTGGAGGTGGCCAGCAATGGCAGCCCTGGGGGTAGCCCACGGGGGAGGTCAGTGGCCCTGGGGGTGTCCCGTGGGTGCCCCGGGGACAGTCAGGGGTGGTGGCCCATGGTGGTGACCTGGGGGTGGTGACCCTCAAGGTGTCCCCCGGGGGTGGCCACTCTGGGGGTGACCTGTGGGGTGTGACAGCCCGGGGGTCACCCGGGGGTCACCCAGGGGTCACCCAGGTGTCAGCAGCCCTGTGGCCACGTCGAGGGCAGTGGTGGCCCACGGGGTTGCCCAGGAGTGGTGATCCTGTGTCATCCCATGCTCAGTGGCCCTGTGGGACCCCAGTGGTGGTGGCCCACAGAGTATCCATGGTGGTGATGCCACTCTGGGGGTGACCCACGGGGTGTGACAGCCCGGGGGCCACTTGGGGGCCACTCCGGTGCCAGTGGCCCAGTGGGTGCTCCAGGGGTGGCCCGTGGGGTGCCCCTTGGGAGTGTCCCCATGTCACCACACCGTCAGCACCCCACGAGCGGTGGCCAGGCCGGTGGCCTGTGGGGTGGCCCTTGGGGGTGTCCCTGTGTCACCACACCATCAGCACCCCCCGGGCAGTGGCTGGGCCGGTGACCGGGGTGGTGGCTGTGCCGGTGGCCGTGTCAGTCCCCAGCCATGCACTTGAAGCGGTTCTTGAAGAAGAAGAGGCGCTGTTTGAGCCTCAGGCTGTCGTCCCGCGCCGCCGGGTACCGGTACCGGTTGTACTGGCGCTCGCCCTCCGAGCGCCGCCAGGGCAGTGCCAGCTTGGACGCGTGGTCCACCACCACATCCTCGCAGGAGCCCACGTGCAGCACCCCCAGCCCGTCGATGAAGAACTCTGGGGGGTGAGGGGGGCACCCGAAACGGGCTCAGAGACGCCCTGGGATCCTTCGCCCGGCCTCTGGCCCCGTGGGGTTATTGGGGGGGGACCCCAACATCCCCCCCCCGTCTGACCCCGTGGGTCTTTGGTGAGGGGACCCCAACATCCCCCCCCC